GTCCAGGGGTCAGCTGGGCCCCCGGAGATTCGTTAAATGCTTCTTGACGTTGGACATCCTTAGAAACAGCAGCCTCACGTCTGTGTTCGTCTCTGGCAGATGAAAAACTGGAAGAGAAGATATTTTCAGCTGGATGAAAACACAATAGGCTACTTCAAGTCCGAGCTGGTACGTGGCTTTGTCGTAAACGCTGCTTTTCAGTGTCTGGGAAGCATCACGGGGCTTTCATATTCATAGATACCTGGTTTCTTGTCCCGTTTTCTGTTCTTAAAATAATGAAAATCTGGTTTGAGAGCGTCACACAGTTCAGATTTTGCTGTGATGCTTCTGGGGAGTGGTGTTTTGTTAAATATAGTCTGAGATAAAAAGATCACGCTTTCCAGGGCGGTTCACCTTGAGAGAATTAAAAACGCCAGAGCCCCTCCGTCGACACGTTCCCTGGAGGGGCCCTGGGGGGCGGGAGGGAGGAGCGGCCCTGGAGGTCAGCGTTCAGCCCCCCGCATGTCTGCCTTTCCTCCCTCCCCTCTCCGCTGCTCTCTTCCTGCCAGATGTTTTTGTTCTTTCTGGAGGTAGAATCAGAGATGGAAATTCTCTCTGTCGTTGGTTCGAGTCACACCTTTATTTAAACCACGCTCGTCCCGTGGCCTGAGCCGTGCAGTCGGCGGCTGGGAGAGGTGGGTGCCGTTCACACACCCGCCAGCCTCCCCTTGTTTTGGGGGACTCTGAGGGGACCGTGCTCTCTGTTTGAGTGAAGGCGCCGGGACAGCGCTGCCCGGGGGGGATGTTGTGTGTGTGGCCGCCAGGCCTGCTGAGCCCTGGGAACGTGGCTAGTGGGACTGAGGAACCCGACCGACTTAATTGTAAAACTAAAACTGATTGTATTTAAATAGCTACACGTGGCTAGTGGCTGCCGTACTGGACGACAGAGCCCTAGAGAAGAGGAGGGGACTCTTCTGAGACCCCGCTCAGGCGTCTGTCCTGGAAGCTCTGACGTGGACCTGCTGCCCCTCACGCCCGCGGTGCCCGGTTCCCACTGTCCCGGTGCCCCGCTCGGTCGTGCCATGGTGTGTGAGCCCGTTTATCGGGCCGTGACATGAGCCGCTTTGGCGCTCACTTCCTTTTACCCTTTTATGAATGCAGCTCTGGTACTTGGTAGGTCATCAGTCGGTGCTTTTGAAGGAGAAATGACAGAGCATAGCAGGAAGAGCCGCGTTCGCGGACCTTCCCCAAGCTTCAGGTCCTGGGAGGACTGGTTACTTGGCTCAGAGCCCGGCCTTGGTCTCTCACTTGGGAGGCTGCACGTGCGTTTGGTTGGCAGGTCGGTTCCTTGCTTTTAGTTAAAGCCAGTTCTCTTGGGGAGAGTCACGCATGCAGCCCATGGTCATCGAGCTCCATCCCCCGGACACTGTCCTAGGAACTGGGAATAACAGTCAGCGACATGCCTCGGCAGTTCCGTTTTGCCAGAGAAGTTGACATGTCCCTGACACTCACAGTAATTGTAGTAATTATTAGAGAAATATTTACTAAGTTTTGAAAACCTGCACATGGATGTTATGCTATAAAATCTGAGACAAAGAACACTGAACTGTCACGGGAGGTAGGGAAATACATGTGTTTAGGAATACGATAATTAGTTAGAAAACAGATAAAGCTAAAACACTAAACAGAATGACTGCCCTTTACCAGTTCTCAGGTGCACCCCTGGGCTTTCCTGAAGTCTCAGGGAGCCCTAGAGCTGCTGTGGGCGAGGGGCAGCCAGGAGGCAGCTGTGCTGGGGTTGCCGTGGTTGCAGGCACACAGCATCCTGGGTTCGGTCCAGGGGACACCAGCCTCCAAACCTCCAGGAAGGGGGCTGCCGCCTGCGAGGGAGTCTCAGGGACCCGTGAGAGAGGCTTAAGAGATGGCCTGGAGTGGACAGCGGCGGTGCTGATGGCGCCTGATCAGAAAGCGACTCGGGAGAGCTGGAACCTGGCCATGAGTTTTAAGAAACCGTAACCAATCTATTTTGCTCATGTATTTTTATATATGCTCAAGAATGAGATACGGTAAAATGGATGTTTAAAGTATAAAAGGCTCTTTGACAAACTATGTGGGGAAACTATCTGGTAGAAAATGAGGAAAAGACATGAAGAGACAATTAATTTACAAAGAAATTAAAATGGTCCTTAAACATAAAAAGATATTTTATAACATCACTTGTAATTAGAGAAGCGCCAATTTTAAAAAAAACCACAGAAATATTATGTCTTGTCTCTCATGAGAAAGCCGTGGCTGAGTGAACAGATGGGCATCTCCGCTCTAACCAGGGCCCCCGGGGACGTGGCGGGTTTCAGAGCTGGGGCGGGGACCGTGCGAGCTGAGCCCATGCAGAACATCTGGCTCTGATGGAAAACAAGGAAGTGGCTCAGAAGTAATGGGGACGCGTCAAAAGGACACTGGAGCCAGCTTGAAACTCAGACAGTTTGAGCAAGAAAAATAAATGATGATAATGGGGTATAGCTCAGAGCTCAGTGAGTCGTTAATAAACAAACAGGGAAGGAGAAGCATTCTCTTCGAGTAGAATTCCAGCTCACCTATGTAGGTGAGCTCACTGGCTAGAAAAGTCACCACTTGGCAGCCACTGGAGTAATGGTGATTTTAGGCAAGAATCCTCAACGTTGGGTAAATCTAGAGGGCAAAACTAGGGTGGGACTCTGGGTGCCACAGAGGCTCCAAGAGTCTCCCCACAGGCCTCCAATAGTGACAGGGAGGCAAGAGCAATTTTACAGTTACTGGCAGGCGTGACCTTAGCAGGAGATCGGGGTTAGCGCACGAGCGATGGGACCGACCACTGTCGTGCACCCGAGTCGTGCGCCGAGAGGGACGCGGCTTCCTGCCCAAACCGCACAACCTGAGTCTGAGCACGTCAACATCAGACAGACCCAGCGAGGGGCATACGCAATAGCTGGCCTGGCTTTTCAAAACTTAAGGGTCAAGGAAGGCTGGAGAGCTGTTCCCCAGTAAAGGAGCCTCAGACGTGACAGCTAAGTAGAACCCTAGACGGAAAGGACATGGTGTTCCTCTTGCTGGAAAGTGCTGGTGGGGCAGCGAGTGAACCCCGAGGGTGGTGTGTATTCGGGAGCAGTGTGGCACCATGTGGAGTGTGGCACCATGTGGAGTGTGGCACCATGTGGAGTGTGGCACCACGTGGAGTGTCTGGGCTTCCCGACCGTACTGTGGTTGTGCAGTCGGAGAACATTCTTGTTTCATGAAATAGCACTGAAGTCTTTAGTAGTAAAAATGTATCCCGTCCACAGCTGCCTTCAAATGACTGCACCGTAGTCACTCACACACACACAGTGATTCAGCGAATGCAACATAGTAACACAGCGTACAGAAATTTTTAGTCTGAAATTATTTAAAAATGGGCTGTTCTGTAAAACTTTAGAGAAAGATTTGTGATTTTAAAAAGCGTTCAGCGCGGTTTCCTTTTTTCCTTAGTGTTCATAAAATAACGGCGGGCCAGCCCCGTGATGCCACAGTCAGTGAAGTGCAGCATGTAGTCTTTATGGAGCATAGAGCACGAGGATTGTGCTGTCGGGAGCTAGTTATGTCCTGTCTGTGTGTCTTCAGCCCGGTTTTGTAACCTCAGGTCAGGTACTTGACGTGTTTACCCCTCAGTGTCCTTGGGGGAGTAATAGTGCGTGTTGTAGGGTTGTGGGAAGTTTGAGATAACACTTAAAATCTAGCAGATGTCCTGGCACTCGGTAAATGTTCAGTAAACTGTGCTTGTTGAAATAATGTGTTCATATAAAAATGTTACTCTTAAAATAGGCTTGTAACTCAGAGGAGCTGGGCACTCACTGCTCGGCGCCTCCTCTATCCCCAGGGGAAGCTCTGCACTTACTGGCACAGGGGGTTGATCAGGGTCCGATGGTTGATGGCGTCATAGGCCACATTGTCACCGGGCCAGAAACAGCAGGAAAATGTGTCATGCGCCATGTCCTTGTTCAGGCCGCAGATCTCCAGACGAGACACCAACCCTTGAGAGGATTTCAGGAATATGCTTCATGTATCTGTTTGCTTTTTTTTTTCTAGGAAAAGGAGCCTCTCCGCGTGATACCCCTGAAAGAGGTTCATAAAGTGCAAGAGTGCAAGCAGAGGTGAGCGCCCTCCCATGGTGTTTTCTTGTTATTTATACACAGCAGTGCTTTAGTTTGATTGATGTGCTTGCAGGTGATAGTTTTCTAGTCCTGTTTTCAGCTGCTTAGAGTTGGGAGATACTAGAACTTTCAAAACCCTCGGATTAAAGTACTGAGATTTTTTTTGTTTGAAAACTAAAAATTGGGAAACAATCCTTAAGCTTATTAATGGAAAGAAAAAAACTTCAATGTGAACGGCTTCTATGGTCTTGGACGGATTGGTGTGCTAGGATTTTAGCTTTTCGAGGCTGGTGCAGAAAGAGCCTTGTAAGAAACATGGTAACTGGGCAGCATTTCTGTGAACAGACTCCCTTCTTCATGTTCAAAACCCTGACTTTTAAAGTAGTTTTATGTACCTGGTCTAGGATACACATACAATGTGTAAAGTTTAATACAAAAATAAGTTGAAAAAGTTGATAACTTGGTTTTGTTAAATCAGTGTGTTCCTCTAGGACTTACTTTCTTATTGGTGCATATTTGGTGTTGGGTAAATAAGTGAAAAAAGCCTATCAAGCAACTGCTGTTAAAGTCCCGTGGAAATTTTTTGTTACAGTGACATAATGCTGAGGGACAACCTCTTTGAAATCGTAACATCGTCGCGAACCTTCTATGTGCAGGTGAGATACTTCCTTGAAGGTTATAGATCCTCTTACGGAAAGTAGTAATTTTAGAGGGGAAGTGAGCTTCTTGCTTATGAGAGTAAGTAAAAAATACGACAACTGCAGTTCACCAAACAATGTTACATACGACTATTGGTCGGTCACGCGCTCAGCACACGCGGGATCTTCGCTGAGTTAGTCGAATAGAACTGAGTCGCGCTTGGAGGAAGGGAAATGCCACCTGAACTTGTGGGCTGAGTGTGTGCTTTCCACTTGGATTCTCTTGGCACCTATTCTGGAGTTTGATTATTCCATTTGGGTAATTTTATAGAAGGGGGGCTCAGATACTAGACAGCAGGGCTTAGGGTCCCCCTGATGGTAGGTACGTCCTGCATTGGAGTTTAAAACGAACTCTTTACTCACCACATTAATTAATTTGGAATTTTTCTTTAAAGAACATTTGCTTATGTTTTATAAAACTTACGTATGCTTATTGCAGGAAGGGTGGTTTATAAAATACACAGAGTCCCGCATTCAGCAGCCGTCCTCACCTCTCGCTGCCTTTCTTGGGGCATCTGTTTTCATAACAAGTGGAGTCACGTGGAATGTCGATTGTGTGCCCGGCCCGGAGGCTCCGCGGAGCCTGGGCCTTCTTCCTCCGTCGTTAGACTTGCTCTGTGCTGTCACGTGGATGTTCCACAGTTACGCTGCGTGTCTGCCCCTTAGTTGCTGATCGCTCATTTACATGGTTTTCTTACACTGACTGTGATAAGTCACGTGCTGGTGAACATTTTTGTGCATAAATTTGCTTGAATTTCTTACTTCAGGATGAGTTTCTAGATCGAGAGTAGCTGTTAGACCAGGGACCTTCGAAACCTTTATTTTGCCCAGCTGGTTTCTAGACGTGCCCTCCTATTGCAGTGAGTGAAGGTATATGTTTTACTTTTGCCTACGTTGAGTTTTTTTCTTTGAAAAATTATTCGTTATTATTATCGGTTCATAAATACTATCTTGTATCTTTAAAATTTTAAACTTGCCGATTGCAGAATCGAGAAGTTAAGGGCAGTATCTCTGCGCCCCCCTGGGGCCTGGTCCCATGGGGTTAAAGTCACAGGGAGGTTTGTGATTCACATGGGAAGCCAAGGTCCTGCCGAGAATGGTCTGCACTGTGACCACCGGTACTTCTTTAGGGTTATGGAACTACGAGGAGTTAGTTCTAGAAAAATAATTTACTCAGCAAAACCTGGTTTAAAAGGGTGATTTCTAAAAGTTTTTTTAAATCATTGCCTTGGAATGATTTTGTCGTTCACACTTTATTGCTGAAGCGTGCGTGTTGGGTCTGTGGGTGCAGGAACTGATTTGAGGGGAAGGACTGACCGGCCCTTTCTCCCCTCAGGCCGACAGCCCTGAAGAGATGCACAGCTGGATCAAGGCCGTCTCAGGGGCCATCGTGGCGCAGCGGGGGCCCGGCCGGTCAGCGCCTTCCGTATGTTTCCTGTTCTCGGGGTGGCCCTCCCTCCGGCTCCCCCATTCTTTCAAGCTATTTTCCTTCCTCTCCCCCTAATTCTCTGGTTTCTTTCTGAACTGAGCTGTATTTGCATGGTGACTTTCATACCCATTGGACTTGGGAAAAAGTGATGCATTTCTAATTCAGCGCTTCCCGGTAGCCGTAGGTGTCCGTGACTCCCGTGCGCTGCGCTGGGCAGGTGCCCCGGCAGGGCCGCTGGAGGACGGGCTCGCCGGGAGTCGGGATGTGGTGCAGCGACCAGGTGGTTCTCAGTGTAGCGTGTGCCCTGTCGTCTGCGGATGCCCTGGCTTCCTCTTTGCTCCCTGTAATTGCACTCGGGGTCTCTTTGGCTTAATAGCCTTAGGACCATGGAGCAGCTGGAGCCCGAACTACAGCTGACCCTCCCGTCAGCGCCTCCCCTTCACGGTGTCTCCTCATTTCCTAGGACATTGATTTAAAAGGCTGCTTTTGTTTACAGTCTTAACTGTCTTCGTGGTGGTATCACAGGGAGACAAACAGCTAAACATTCTCAGAAGTAGTGAGAAAGATGTTTTTCATGTTTAATTTCCACATTCGTGGACATCACAGGGGTAAGATTTGCCTTTAGAATACCCGGGGCGCCGGTCCCCGACGCAGAACCACGAGTTCTGAGGAGTGAACCGCTGCTCAGCCTGCGCAGTGTGGTGCCACCTGCAGCGAGATGGCCTTTGTTCCATCGCGATGCTGCGTTTTCCGCACCTGCCGTATTTTCCTGGTAGTAACGTAGTAACCACAGACCAGTAAACACAAATCCATCTCTCTCGTTTCCTAATCCAGTCCTCCTCCTGTCCTTTTCGTGACTCGAGCAGCTCCTTTCCTAGTGTGGGCCCGGTAGCTGCCTGTGTTTTGTGTGACCTTCGGCGTCGAGTATGAGACCCTGCCAGCCCTGTCTGTCGGGAAGAGGGAGCTGAGAGGGCGCTGTGTGTGGTGCTTGTGGTGGGCAGGCGGGCTGTCCGGCTGTGACTCAGCACAGCTCTCCCCTCCCTCTCCCAGGTAGGTCAACGCTAACCTCAGCTTTGCCCTGTGTTCCAGATGCGGCAGGCCAGAAGGCTGTCGAACCCTTGTATACAGAGGTACACACCACGGACTGGTGCATGCGGCACGTATGTGGGCCCCGCTAGCGTGCCTTCTTACTAGAGGGCCGGACTCACTCACTGCTTACCACTCCCCTAGAAAGTTGAGTTAACGAGCTCCTCCCGCAGTTACGTAGCCTTGTCAGCACTAACACGGCCGTCCCAGTCCCTTCATCGGGCTGGAGACGCGGTTAGAAAAAACTAATGAAAAGAAATTGAACTTTACTAACTACAAAAAGTCATCTTCTAAAAATTAATCCACTGAGTTGCCACAAGAGTTTAATCGCTGTGTTCTGTGTGCTTCCACGTTTTCTGTGTTACACCGTGAGACACGCGTCCCGGTTCCGATACGTGCGGGCCCCCGCCTGCCAGTGCGTTGGACACACTGCTGTGGTTTGCATGGCGTTAACCCTCGGTGACACTCCCACCTGGCGGGACTTGGTCATGCTCACAGTTTGCAGCACTTGGTCTTCAGAGCCACTGCGGGTGGGTGAGCGCCGTGTGCCAGGAGCCACACAGTGGTGCCTGCGGGACGGTCACGTTCAAGGTGTCTGCAGATTGGACGAGTTAGAGGTACATGGAAATTGACACCCCCAGCTGGTCGTTACTTCACCACAGCGACAGTAGGTGCTTAAATCCGCACTCTGTTACCTCACGGCCTTAGGCCATCTGGATGGATGACGTTCAGAACCGAACATGCAGTTAAGTCAAAAACAAAGAGACCGTGCTTGTGGCCGCAGTGAAATTCGGGGCTTGTATGACACGTGAAATACGTGGCTTAAACCCTCGTGCTGATGAAAACACATTAAATCAAGGGGTGAAGCTGCCGCCCCGTTAGGCCAGCTCAGCTGCAGTTGGCACTGCGCCCGCCCCAGGGTGCCCGGGTCCGGGCAGAGCCCCCGGCCGGCCTCGCCGACAGGACTGGCTCCCGGTGCAGGGGTTTGGCCGTCTGCTGTGCCCTCAGTCCCGCGGGGCGCTGCTCTGGGAGGACCTGCACACGTTTGCTGCATGGCTCCTGCTCCTGTGTGTGTGTGTTTTCTGCCTGTTTTTCAGAGAATAGTCTCGCACTGACTCACTAACCCTGTCCCGTCCCTGCCCGCGCCTGCCCGCGTCTGACCGCCTTCCTCTCCGCAGGAGCGTCCCACCTGTCCCGAGTCCAGGCCCGCGCTCCGCTCTGCCAGTGCCGCCGCCTCACGCCCCCCAGCCGCTCGCAGCCACTCTCTGGTCTCCAGCTGTGCCCTGGAGAAGCGAGGATTTTGCGAGTCTCTTGCCAAGGTCAAGCCAGGGAACCTCCAGGTCCAGACTGTCTCTGCAAGAGACCCAGCTCCCAAAGTGACTGGAAAAGCCCTGCCACAGCCTCCGAGTGAAAACGGCCCTCAGGAAAGCGACCGCGGCCCCGTGGACCTGGACGACGCGAGCCTCCCGGTCAGTGACGTGTGAGGCGGGAGCACCGGGGGCCCGCCCGCCTCGCCAGCCCCTCGGCTTCCTCCCGGAGGCTTCCAGCCAAAGATGAGAAAACGGTGACTTCATTTTAGCGCCTCCGCGGCGCGGCCTCGAGGATGTGCTCGTCCTAAGCTGGCGCAGCAGGGGTCCGGGGAGAGGCCAGGAAAGAAGGAAATCTGAGTGTCTACCTGTCTGAAGTGAATGAATACGTGTGTGTGATGTTTTTTCCTGGTGAATTTGACAATTTAAATGTTTATCAATTTAAAACATTGAAAATGCTTATTAATTATCCTGGTCATTTTAAAAATGCTACTATGACTTCCTTTTAGACGGTCGATACTTACAGTCCTACCGGTTAATGTTATTGAATGAAATGCTACCAGACGGACACCTGAGCCCACAGTGTGGTTTTGTCCTGTCTGTACCACGGTGGGCTGTTCTGACAGGTGACCCTGCCCGACGCCCTGGTCTGCAGGCGAGTGAGTGGTGAGCTTGGTGTAGAGGATATTGTTGGACTGACGGTGGTGGGGGTTGGGGGTTGTACTGGGTGGAGAAAAGGGGGAAAGTAAATTTTAAACAACTGCATCTTGGACATTTGCTTGGAAAGGTTGACGAGACTGGCAGTCATTGCTCTTCTCAGCGGACACGGGTGCAGAGTTTCTGGGAGCCCTGATTTGCTTGTGACAGTTTTCTACACTGTACAGTTCTTATTTCTGTATTGGGGTCTGTGAGAGGCCCCGAGTCTATATATAGACACTTCCCTCCTCCTGCGACGTGGCCTCAGCCTGTCACCAACAGCCTCTGTTCAAGTGCCTGTGTCTCGTCTCGTCACTGTGCGCGTCCTAGTGACTGGCTTCGACCATCAGGGTAAAACCGGGGGCCCGGTTCAGTGTCGAACAAGCTGCACCCTTTCATGGTAGAGATAGCGGATGCTGGGGCTCACTGCCTGTGCAGTGCTTGCTTTAAAACGGGCCTGAGCGCACACTGAGTTGTGGGGACGGATAGCGACAAGCTCCTCTGGAAGTCCTAGCTCGAGCGGCTGGGCAACGGACCGGTTTGAGCGATGCCCTGCGGCCCCGTCCTAAACGCCTGCTTTAAAAATAGTCTTGAATGTCACATGCTGCTATTTTTATGACATTTTACCATTTTGTTTTGAATTCACACATGTCCTGTCTCCCCTGTTCATTTTCTAAGACGAGTTTTTGTCTGAGAGAGAGAGACAGACAGACAGATGCTTCCTGCTGCTGTCGTGGGTCCGGAGGCCACTGCATCACACTGGCTGCCCCAGCATCAGCCTCAAACCCAGAGGCGTCGAGCCTGCACCGCCTCCTCCTCCTCATAAGCTAATGGTTTTAAGGCTGCATTCAGAGTTTCCCTTCCGCAGCTGCATGTGGGAGCGATAGACCGAAAGGCTGCGAGCGGCTCTCGGTCTCCCCATCCTAGCCTCTCCCAGATTCAGAGCCCCGGGAGCGCCCGTGTGGACCGTGTGACGTTCAGGAGCCTCAGGCCGAGCTCTCGCAGCAGCTTCCACATCGCATGTCTGTTTGGTGTATTTTGGTAATTTGGTATATTTCATAGCGGCAAAGTACTTTCTCTATTTTGGGACTTTCTATGGAACTACCCTTGTACTCAGTAGCATAGGAAAATGTTCTTGTGATTTCTGGGGTCCTCTGATATTTATCTCAATACTTTTATAATTCTATGAAAATTATTTAATATTTTAAAACTTACACTTTTCTTGTAAATATATCACATCTGAGTTGTCAAATTACTTTGAACACCCTCCTGTTTGCTGCATTTTTTCTGTACCCGTAAACGTGTCTTCAGAGCGGGACCCTGTGTGCTCCCGTGTTTACTTCACCTGCCGCCTTGCCGTGTCCCGTGGTGGAGTCGAAACGACCCACGAACAAACTGCTCAGAATTAACTCTAAGGTTTCCTGTTGGTCTGGCTGTGCCCTTGTGTGAACAGGTAAATAGAACCAGTACAAACGCCTTTGGTTAATTGACTTGAATGTATCTCCTTGAGGATGGGCTACTTGGTAACCTTCGAAACACACGGCCTGACGTGAAATTGCACAGGAAAAACCCAATCTAACCTGCTGGTCGCAGGAGGTCGCCGTTCGGTTCCCGGGTTGTGGGCTCCCATCCCCAGTGGAGGGGCTGGGGGGCGCGCAGGAGGCAGCCAATCAGTGACTCTCATCGTTGATGTTTCTCTCTCTCCCTCTCCCTTCATCTCTCTGAAATCAATAAAAAATAAATAAAAAACGAATCTGGGGGAGAAAGCTTGATTACTTTGCTTAAGTGAAACATGTTCTCCAAAGCACAATTACACGTCGGCTTCCGAGCCGTGTGAGTGGCCCGGGCTGCGGGCCGGGGGGTTGGTGCCGAGACTGGATGTGCTGGGGGCTGAGTGCAGAGGGCGTTGGTCCCCGGTGGGCTGTGGACAGACTCTCACCACACTCCGTCCCGCCCGTCGCCGGAGGCGGCTGCTGTGTAGTCAGCGTCTGCTAATGGACCCCGTGTGGGTGCTTTTCCTTACCTGGTGCAACTTAATTTTCTTTCCCTGAAAAGTATTTTAAATGTTTTTAGTTTTTTAAAAAATGAAAGTTCTAAATTTTGCCGCTTTTACAAAAACAGAGATCCCTTCCTCAGCTGTCCTTTTGCTTCTGGTTGCTGTTCAGGAACTTTCCGTAAGTGGTGCTCAGACCTCTATCAGCCCTGGCGCAGTCGGTGAGGTGGGAGTGTTTGTATAGAAAGCGCAGTCGTGTCGCGGCCGAGTTCCAGGCCTGGCGGGAGGCTTCCTTGTCGGCAGAAGGGTTTGCCTGTCGCACAGCCGTGAAGAACACACGTTACAGGGTTTGTATTTTCTAAATTCGACTGTTAATGCAGATCCAAAAGGATGTCATTTTTTAGTGATTTTTTGAAAATTGTATTTTCCCAGCCTCACATGGGACATGTGTTGGAAATGCTGCCGAATCGGGGTTAGCATTTAATCTCAGTGCTAAAGTCCTAGTTTTCCATTGTGACATTTACAGGGATGAGTGTCCTTACGGGTGCGTCCCGGGGCGATGGCGCCACCTGCTGGTGGCCTCCCTGCTGAAGTTAAAGCAGTTTGGAGTCCAGTTCACTTTATTTTAATCATAGAAAATTAGAGGAGGTCTGCAAATGACTTAGTTAAGCCCTTTTTGGAGGCAATTGTAGGTTCAACTCAGTAGTTATGAGAGAGCGACAGGGCTGTTGTATACACTTACTCCGTTTTCCCTGATGACAGCACTGAGAGACCAGTAAAATAACCAGGACATCGACCCTGATCCAGGCAGGACACCCGGCATCTGTTGTCACGAGGATCCCCCACGGCCGCCCTTTTATGTCTACCCACCTCCCATTCTACAGGCTTGGAAATAAACGGAGTCACTTGCCCAAAATCTCGTTAGGTTTTATTTATTTTTAATTTTTATTTATTATTCGTTAGGTTTTAAATCCTATCTCGATAAAGAGTTTTGGCTCCGAACCATAATGGGGTTGCTGCCTCAGTAGGTCTTGAAAACTACCCTCTGTTTATATTGAACTATCCCCAGGTTACTAAATGAGTTGAATTTTCATTCAATCTATTTTCAGCACTTTCCAGACGATAGATTTCTTTATACGTCTGTTTAAATTTAACATTTGAGAATCAGTAGTAAATGTGACCATAACTTCCCTGAGAGATTTTACGCTCTGACATCTGACGTGGAGAGAGGTGTGTGACCTTTTCTGAGCAAGAGGCCTTTTGTTACCGAGTGTCCTGAAGATTTTACCAGGTAGCTTCTGCGAGGGACAGCGAATGGCCGTGGGACCACTGTCCCTGACAGCCCTGTTGGTAGAAACTGGAAAACCCTCCGAGTGGCTTTGTAGGTTCACCCTGAGAACCAACAGCAGCCTGATTAGCGCACTTTGAGGGAAACGAGCGCCCTCCGCCTCCCACCCTCCCCGTTCATTTTGAAAACTCCCTGCTGCCTCCTGGGACTCAGCGCGTCCGTCCCATCTCCCCGAAGCCCTCCCCAACTTCCCCGCTGGTGCTTTGGTCTCTACGCTCCCGGAGAAGTTTTTTTTTCTTTTGTCAATATCAGTAGTTTAAAATTTCTGAGAAGATGTCTCTTCCATCCTGTTTCTCCCTACAATGTATTTTCACATCTGAGTGGAAACCTTGGACAGTTTTCCATTGTCCTTCAAACAGTAGCTGTCCCCTGGTCTCGGAGGCCTGGGGCCCGGCGCCCCCAGGGCCGCCTCCCTCCTGTTCTGGGCACCGGGCCGAGGAGAGGAGCCAGGATCCGGGACCAGCCCCACTGCAGCTCTGAGCCGCTGGGATTTGTGCTGACAGCGGGCTCCCTGTGATGGATTCTGGCCTTGGGCTGAGAGGTGCAACAGCCGCATGTGAAGTGGTTGCACCCAGCGGGTGCTTCATCCAGAAGAAATGCTTGAGTAGGTGCAGCCAGTAGTGTCAAGGGCTTCCTGTGGACACCCAGCTTTGCTGGACTTGTAACTGCGCAGAAACCTCGTTTCTTGACTGTAACCTTCCCTCGTTTCTTTTTGACTCAAACTGGCCTCGCCCAGCACCTGACTCACCCACCCTCTCCCTTCGGCACTGAGTCCTCAGGACAGTGAGGTTCTGATGCGAATCAAATCATCTTAGGAACGTAGCCTCAGTCTGTTGACTCAGACATTCTCGGTCAAACTGGAGATAACATCAGGCCTCAGTTGTGTTTCAGCGCCAGGCCCAGGGACCCTGGCAGGACGTGAGTCACCGGTCAGCTCCCCCTACCCTCCTACCGACCAGTTAGTAGCGGCCACGACCCTGACCAGACCCTGAGTCCCTTAGTCACCATGATAATGATTTTCCCCATATAACCCCCAGGAGCCAGGTGTTCAGCGTGAGCTCACCTGTGTCTCGGGGCTGGGCCACTTCCTGAAAAGAAACCCTTCCTTCCTTCCTTTGCTGCTGACTCCTGCTCCTGCCTTATTGGGCTTTGATTCGTGCAGGCAAACGGACCCTTTCATCCCGTAGCAGACGCTGGAGAATAGAAATGAGTGGGGCGGGCACCCAGAAGTTACTTCCATGACAAGGCAGACGAACGGCCGCCTGGCGGAATGTGCCAGCTTATGGTGCAATAACCAAAGCTCGGCGGTGCGCAGCCGTGAGGCCTGTTGGTCAGTTATGCTCTGTGTCCACTGTGATGTCCACAGCTCTGCCCTTCACCCTGGGGCCCAGCGGCAAGGTGGCCATTCCCCAAACTAAAGCTCAGAAGACATCTACAGTGTAAGAGGTTTTCCTTTAAATTCAGATGGGGGTAAACAGAAAATTTTAACTCGCAAGCAAACCCCGCATTTCACTTGAGAGACACACAATCAACACTTCCTTCCACGTCTCAGTGGTTCAAACCTGGCCCAGTTCAGCCAGGTGTGGGCTCTGGCCGGGTGCTGGGAGGGGCGGTGACGCAGGTGCTGGTCCTCAGGGCACTACCTTCCGGCCCCGGCCCCTCCCTGAGGCCCGAGGACAGACGGGAGGCAAAGGGGTCAGGTGGGGAGCTCGGGCTCCTCTTCGGAGCTCCCGTGTTGTTGGCTCTCAGGCTTTGTTCCATCCAGGTTTGCGTCTGAGGCTCGCTTTCCTCAACAACCAGGAGCAAACAGCACAGTTTTGCAGTTTTTAAAAAATTGTTTTTATTTTATTATTTTTTTAAATTCTTACCCAAGGGGTGAAGATATTTTTTCCATTGATTTTTAGAGTTGAAGGAGGGGAGAGAGACAGACACATGCAGCGAAGAGACAAATGGACTGGCTGCCTCCTGCTCTCACCCTGACCCAGGGTGGAGATGGAACCTGCAACCGAGGTACATGCCCTTGAGTGGGAATCGAACCCGCAACCCTCCGGTGTACAGGCCGACGCCCTAACCGCTGAGCACGCTGGCCGGGCCTAAACAGCACAGTTTTGCATCCTGCATGTCTTGCTCAGCTATCAGTATCCCCCCGGGGTGTTATTTTGCTTCCTCTCGAATCACAAACCAGGGGCACTGGGCCACGAGAGACGGTCTCCGAGCTGCCCTTGAGATGAGAAGGGCTGGGCTTCGGCCCCCATCAAGCGGCAGGTCTCAGTGACAGGGAGCCTGGTGCAAAGGCAAGAGCTTGGCTTGCGGGCTGGTTTGTAAAAGGGAGAATTATTCTTTTTTAAAGGACTAGCAAGTTAATAACTGGGTGTCAGGCACTGGACTAGGCTTGCGGACCGAGAAACGGCACCGAGAAGGGGAGCCCGCTGGGGAGCGAGACTGACCTCCGCGACGCGAGGCGACGGGGCCCCGAGGACGCGTGGAGAAGGCCGTGGCCGCCCGCCCTGTGGAAAAGTACCTGGGCTGCGATTGTGATTCATCGGGGAGAAGGCCCGGCTGGGGCCACGCCATCGCCGCCGAGTGCCGGCAGCTGGAGGTCACATCAGCAATGGAACCAATTTAAGAGGAGAAGGTAAATGAAAATCAAGATACAAGTGGATTAACTTCCACGCTGGGCCTGGCTCCTGCTGTGAGCTGAGCTGCTAACTGGACCACGAGGAGGCCAGTGCCCACCGCGTGGCTGGCGGTGGCTGGCGGTGGCTGGCACAATGGGCGAGTCAGGCTCCGGGTTCCGGGCACCTCCCAGCCCCTGGGGAGGGCGATGTGGAGCCCATCTGGACCCAGACTGGCTGGTTAAATCAGGGCTGTGAGCGGACAGATGGAATTCCCAGCCACGAGTCCCGGTCTCTCCGGAGTCGCCCTGGCATAGAGCTGCGGGGTGGTGTGAACGAGCATCCGCGGGCGTCAGTCCTCGGCAGCGGTCTGTCCGGGCCTCCGCCCTGCTGCTCCGGGCACCCCGGGCTCTTGACACAGGTGCTCAGTCACACCCCCTAGAGGTGGTTTTGTTTTTTAAAGCAGCTTTATTGAGAGAGACCTCAAACACCATGCAATTTACTCTGAAAAAGTACAAATTGGATGGTTT